AGTGGGGAATATGTGCGAGGGAAGACCGTTGAGGAAAAAGAAAGAAACGAAGCGCGAACAAAGAGAAGGACAGAGAAACGGGAGGGGAAGAAAGGCCGCGAAGCGGAGACAGGTAGATAAATGCGGTTTATGCTAGGAAGGTAGAAGACAAACGACACTGTTGTCGCATCGTATCTCTCGAGTATACGGGGTCAGACGCGAGAGAGGGACAATTGCGAGAACGGCCGAAGAACGAGAGAAAGAAAGATAGGAAGAGAGGAAAGATGAAAAGGGAAGATGGATTCCAAGAGGGAGAGTACAAGGGAGACAGAGATCGAGATACAGACAAAGAGAAAGAACGCAAATATAAGATTCCAAGGGAAGAAAGAATTTATACGGAAGAGGGAGAGAAAGGGAGAGAGAGAGAGAGAAAGAGACAGAGAGAGAAAAAGAGGGAGAGAGACTCAAGGACAGGAGATGAAAAGAGAAAGATTCATGAAAAGGAAAGACAGGATAAGAAGTGAGAAAAAGAGAACGAGAGAGAAAGAGAGAGTGCGCTAGAAAAAGAGAAGAGTAGCTCATGGTTCACCTGTCGTCATGGCAACGCCGTTTCGCCGCTTCGCCGCTCACTCGTTACTCCATCGGCATAGCTCGGCCCTCGGTCCTCTTGCAGCCTCTGCAGGAATACGAACGCGAGTTACGATCCATCGTAGGAGAGACCGAGATGCAGACGCCTCCAGTTTCTCTGTTACGATGATTCACCGTCTCCGTCGAGATCGAAAGATGTCAGACTCACATAGATGGGTAGGAAATGGCCCTTGGCTATCACCCTCCCACCCTTGGTTTTGCACTACGTTATCACAGAACACTCACTGACGGTCTTCCTGATACGATAACCGATCCTCGTCCTTTCGAGATTCGTTCTCATTCGTTATTTCACTGTACCACTCTATTATAACATATTTTACTTTTTTCGTCAACTTTTCATCTTATTATATGATCACGAGCACGATACTCCCAGATTTAGAAACGTATCACAGAAGAAGCACAGTAACGATTTCGTTGGAAGAAAATCGGAAAGGAGACACCCTCTCCGGTTACTCTTTATTTGCCCGTCCCCCTGGCGCGTACTTAAGCCGAAGTCACTCTTCTATTTTAAGCTCCACACTTGCCCCGTCGTCTGCGTCTCTTGGCTCTGCTCTCCTTGCTCTTTCTTTCTTACGGAAGCACGAGAGCAACACAGAGAGACGTATACACGCACTATCTTTTTCTCTTTGGTACGCGGTGGGACACAGAGTCGCGACTCCTCTCTCGTTATCCACTTACCAGCGCGTCAATCTGTTTGCTATGCAAATCCCGTCCGACCGGTGCTGACGTAGACGGCAACACCAACGCAGAAACGGGTTCGTCGACGATATCTCCTACTAACACACTTAACGGCGAGCAGTTAGTCATTGCCCGCGAAGCACACACGTAGAAAATATAATTGGCTACCACGACGGACCACGCAGCAATTCCACACGGGTTCTCCTTTAGCCCCACCACTCCGTTCGGCAACACCGATACCGAGACCAAGCCACTACACAACTCTTACCACCACCAATACTACTCTGACAGATACTGCTGTTGTTACTACTACGGTTACTACCGCCAGCAGTAATATCACCAACACATCACCGACATCGTGTCGGTAAACGCACCGCAAACTCCACGAACGAATTCCTCTTGCGACTTACACGGCTCCACAGCTCTTGCCTGACGTCATTGGCGCCTAATCGCGACGTATTTCGCGTATCACTTCACGTACTTCTGTCGGACATACACCTCGTGCTTCTCATTAACGATCAATCTCTTTCCTTTTCACCTTTCTCTCTTCGTGTAAATCCCGAGAACAAAGTTACACCACAATTTCAACAATTTCAGTTCAATTACTACTATTCACTGCGATGTGTCTTTTTTCTTTTCACGTAAACTTTCTGTCTCGAATACGATGGAGAGTTACAGATGTTCGTTTCGTCAGCACAATGAATCTTCGGTCGACAGGCAACAAGAACGACGCTCCGAGGGGACAGCTGTGATGCACTATAGCGTTACAATTTCTCGTTCGTACATCCTCGATTTTAGTCGGAAAGGAACAGATTTGATCCTCCGTAAGGTAGGATCTCGTGGCGCGTGTCGCGTGTCGCGTATCGAGCTTTCGATCCGCGCCACAGACTCGCTCGGCACAGACTCAAACCGCTTTCCACTGCGTCTATTCCGTTACTACTCATCACTCTTCCTGCAACATAATTCCTGTTCGACGACACTGCACGCACTTTCCACGTTCCTTCTTGATTGCCACCACTACTACACTACTACACTACTACTATTACCACAGTCTTTTCCCAACATTCGAAGATGCTCGTATAGTGTGAAGCGTTGCGAAACGGATGCGCGCTCTCCTACCGGGTTTTCAACAAGTGATCGCAGCAGCAGCAGTAACAGTAGAAGCGGCGGCGGCGACGACGAATCGGTAGCTTGTCGTTCCAGGGTCGTTCGTCGGCGTATAGGTGGCACAGCACGCGCATGCTACACCTCCTGACGGCGTTGTTATTGTTGCGTAACTGGCGGCCCGCTAAGCCGAGTGTGCCGCAGCCAGCAGCCGGAGAGAGAGGAGAGGTCGCGAGAGCGAGGTAACAGCAGCCGTGGGTGAGCCAGTGGGCGAGTATCTCTGACGAGAGAGCAGTGAGCGTGCGAGCAGTGCGCCGTCTGGCGTGGCTGACGACAGTCTACTGCCTTCCGAGAACCACGAGGCGATTCCGTGTATCGAACGCGCGCACTGCTGAGCCACTGAAGGGATGGACGCAGACCATCAGAGTGGGGGATCCTGTTGGGACGAGAGGGGACGGATTCGACGTTCAGACGTGCGTAAAGCCCAGTCCACACGCATTCACTCTTTCGAAACGTTCTCAGTCGTGCTCCCTCCTGAGTCATAACGGGTTCTCTCCGTTCGATTAATACTTCACGTTCCAACTTTTCCGTAAATCCAAGAGAGTTACAGCTGTTTTAAGTATCAAACGGAAACGTAATCGATTCTTCTTGCGTTTATAAATATCACACAATGTACATTTACGAAGTAGCATTTAAAATGTATATTTTAAAGTATGTACCTTAAACAAATTCCTCTTAAATTTATAGGTTATACTTTTTTTAACAAGTTAACGCTTTCTTTATAACTTGTTTCAAAATAGCTACGATGAATGTGTGTTTTATACTTCCAAGAATTGGAATTATATTTAAGTTTTAAGAATTACGTTTATTCATACGTACAATCAACTGCAGTTGATTACAGCAGAAAAAAATTATATTAATTTTTTAAGAAATTAAATTCAACGTCGATATTATTCAGTCGTTCATATTAAAGAGGAAAATACGTAGTATTTCGGTAGAAGCCCACGTGTACATTTCAAATACAGTTTGCGACTGTCTCAGTTACAAACACTAAATCCACAATTTTTTTACTTTACCTATATTAGCTATACATTTCACAAGTCAGGATCGAACCGTACAATAAAAAGTAGAAAGAGAGTGTGGATAGACTTTAACACTGGCCGGTATGAGAAAGCCTGCGGATAGGCCGAGTTAGCGATACTCGGCTAAAATCCTCAGGGACGCACTCTACTACGCTCTCTCTGATCTATGCTTCATATTTGAAGACGATAATGAGGCTTTTAACCGTGGCCTTGCGCCGTTGCAGCATGTTAAACGGAAAATCGAGAAAATACCACGATTCCCCACCGCGTCTTCTTCTTACGTCACACAGATTTTCTCACATTGATGGATTTTTCTTTGGCGTCATCGTATGGAACTATGAATGAGCTGTATAGTTTTCTACATTCGCTTCCGTTAACAGAACTTTTTTATTTATGTTTACTTTCGAATATCATAAAGTACATATTCCCTAATTATTTTATAAGTTGTTAATAATTATCTCTGTTTATTTATAATTTTGTTTCAAAATTATAACTTAACAATTATTTTTATTGATAATTTTATTTAGAAATTGATTTGTAATAAAAATAATATTTAATTATAACACACTTAATTAAGTTAGTTAACATAGTTAATTGCTAATTGCTACGTCTTTGTCTGTAGTTTCGAGAAAATCAAGAGAATACAGGAGGAAATGTAACATTGTTGCGTAGTGCTCTCGCACATTCTGTCAAACATTGATACGAGAGTAGGGAGGGTAGCAGACAAACAGGAATCCCTCATGATAATCTGCTTTATCTTTTTCGGATCAGTAAAAGCCAAGGGCAGACGCAGTCTTCTTAGGTGACGCCTCGACTATGCTGCTATCTGGCAGATACATACAACCTTCTTCTCACGCGTCTGCCAGTCCCGGAAGGACGGCCTTCAGGGAATTGACCTCTACGAAGCAGTCGCTCTTCGG